CACACTCGAATGTATCATGAAACAGTTCCTCATAGGGCTTCCTTCCTCAAAAAATTTTTTAGTGTAAGAAACCGAGATTTAAAAAAACCTCATAATTGGAGACAGAGGGTGGGCATCTTGTGAGCTGGTCTTTCTTCTGAGTTGCTTTGGTTTGATTTGTAATATGACTGGAGCCTGGGGCAATTTTCTCACCAGACTGCTTGTAGACTAGACCTCAAAGTCATCCCCAAACACCCTACGTTTATCTAGTGATGAGGGAGACAAACAAAGCTGGCCCTTGGAAACACTGTGATGTCATAACAATAATCTCTGCATGTCTGGCCCCTGTGTCCAAGAGGCCCTGGGACAAAAAATAAAAAAATCTGCGTTTCTCTTTGTGTGTGTTTTCGTGTCCCACTACTTGGCTGGAGCTTCCACCCAGCACCTGGGAAAATAGACCCTGCTGACCAGCGGGACCTCTCCAAGGAGGCCCCAAACTCAACACTGAGCTCTATGAGAAAGTAGAAGGGAAACACCAGCAAGAAGCAATAGCGCTCTCATCTGCACGTGAACAGAGTCCAGTTTAACCCCTTGGTGTTCTGGAGCACCCCCATGTGCGTGCTCATAGGTCACTGGCATTTTCCAGAGAGAAGATGGGGGAAACTTCCGGTTTCTAGAGTCTACAACTGTCATGCTCCCTCTGTCCAGACTCGGCTCCCAGGTAAGCACTCCTTGCCCCCCCACCCATGGGGCTTGACCACCATCTTCTCCTGGTGGGGCTTTTCCCTAGCTCCAACAAATCTCTTACCTTGTAGCACACCCTTGTTATGTGTAGGGCAAGCTTCACCACCTTCTCCCCTTCAAAATCCTGGGCCTCTTAAAAACAACCAACCAACCAGCCAAACACAAACAGACTGACCATTCTGGGCAGTCTCTGCAAACTTACTGGAGGCTACTCACTCTCCTGCCCACACTCCTCTAAACCTCAGCTTTATCGAATGTAACCTATATCGAGTATAACCTACCCACAATGAAATTCACTCATTTCATGTTTAGAGCTTGATGAGTCTGGGCAATTGTATACAGTCATGTAATCACCATCACAAAATATAGAACATTCCCCTCACCCCTGAAACTTCCCTCTTGCCCCTTTGCAGTCAATACCCTTCCCACATCTCTGGTTCCAGCCAACCACAAATCTGCCTTCTATCACCACAGTTTTGCCTTTTTCCAAATGTAATATAAATGGAATCATACAGTATGTAATATTTTGTGTATTATTTCGTTCAACATAAGATTGGGGGCTTCATTCATGTTGTAGCATGTATCAGTGGTTCTTCCTTTGTATTGCTCAGTAGTATTCCATCGTCTGCACATATCACTGTTTAGCCATTCATCAGCTGATGGGAATTTGAGTTGTTTATCTTTTTGACTACTATTTTAAAAGGCTGCTATGAATATTTGCATACAAGTCTTTTTGTGAACATACACTGCCATGTCTCTTGGCTAAATAGCTAGGAGTGGTATTGCTGGGTCCTGTGTACTTTTAACTTTATAAATCACTGTCAAACTATTTTCCAAAGTGGCTGCATCCTTTTGCTCAGGTTACTTTTTAAATAAAAAGAGTAGGGGGAAAAAGAAAGAGAAAGAAAGAAAGAAAGAAAGAAAGAAAGAAAGAAAGAAAGAAAGAAAGAAAGAGTGGGGGTGAGGAGGAGGGTGGTGGAGCCACTTACAATAAGCTTATAAAGTAGATACTAATATCCCCATTTCCCAGATGAGGAAATTGAGGTTTAGAGAGATGTACTTCCCCAAAGTCACACACCTAACAAATGGAAGAGCTGGGATGCCCAGGGGCTTGCTCCTGCCCTCTCCCACCTCTCTTCCCATCAGCCAAGTTGTCAGCTTAGGAACACTGCTGCCTTGACATTCTAGACACCACCTTCACCTGGATCCTTACTATGCTAGGACACAGTGACCATGAGAAGTGGCATTTGACTCCTCTTATCAGAGGCAGCAGCTAGTGATTAGAAGTAACTTTCCCAAGGCCAACAGCCTCCTCCTTATAAGGATGCCCCTTCCCCTCCTCCACCCTGGGCTCGGTGTAATGAACCCGGTAGAACAAGGTGGTTGCAGTCCCCAGCCGGCAATGGGAGTGAGAACTGGGAGGGTAGAGCACCAGCACTGGGCCCATGTGTGAGGATGCTAAGGGAGAGAATCAGGAAACAGAACTTTGCCTTCCTCAGGACTGCTTCTCACCCAGGAGGCTGGGAGTGGGGGTGAGGGTACACCTAGCTGAGCCACGGATGTAGACCCCTCCTGGTCCTGCCTGCTCCCCTTGCCTGAACTTGGGAGAACAGGATGAATCCCCAGGGGACAGGAGGCACCTCCAGCCTGTGCCTTAGCCAAAGCTGGAGGACCTTCGGGGGGAGGATGGACGAAGGATGTCCCGCCCAGAAAGGTTATCGAAGAAGCAGCATTATATCATATCTATTGCCGCCCCCTCCCTGTTGTCCTGGAGCCAGCCATCTCCCCACAGGTTCCTCTGCATTTGGTGTGTGCATGTGTGTGTGTGTGTGTGCCTGTGTATGTGTGTGCCTGACTGTGTGTGTGTGTGTAAAATGCAGGGAAGCCTGAAGAACCCCCAACACACACACACAGATACTCACACACATACTTCCAACTATGAGATGCAGCTCCAGCCTGAGAGAGGGCAGGACGCGGTCGGGAACACAGGGATCCTGAGGCGCCTGAGTGGTGCAGTCGGTTAAGTGGCCGACTCCTGATTTTAGCTCAGGTCATGATGACCTCAGGGCCCCGGGCTCAGTCCTCGTGTCAGGCTGTGCCCTCGGTGCAGAGTCTGCTTGGGATTCTCTTTCCCTCTCCCCTCTGCCCCTCCTGCTTGTGTCTCTCTTTCTCTCTCAAATAAATAAATATTTTTTCAAACGGGGGAGGGTTTAAGAGCCTGGATGGCTCAGTTGGTTAAGCATCCAACTCTTGATTTCAGCTCAGGTCATGGTCTCAGGGTCATGGGATTGAGCCCCACTTCGGGCTCCACACTTCGGGCTCTATGCTCTGCAGGGAGTCCGCTTGAGATTCTCTCTCTCCTTCTGCCCCTCCCCCTGTTCGCACATGTGCTCTCTAAAAATAAATAAATAAATCAAATCTTTAAAAAAAAAAAGAATACAGCAACCTCACCCATGGCCAGGTGGCCACTCCCCTGTAGTGCTCAATGTTTAGTTTACGAAGTGCTTTCACCTCTTCTTTTACTTGATCCTCGCACCTACACTGTGAGGCTGGGGCCACTGTCTGCCTTCCACAGGCCAGAGACTGGTCTTCTTTACTGGGCCTTTCTGCCTGAGCTGTGTCCTTCAGAGCTGGAGCTGGGCTAACCTCCTTAGGATGAGAAGTGTCTCTGCTCTGCAGCTCCCATCCCCTGGGAGCAGAGGGCTTCAGCCTCATCCTTGAATACAGTGCCTACTGCATGCAAGGTCTCCCCCACCCCCAGCTGCTGCCCTCTCTCAGTCCACATTTTCCCCTCTCCCTCTGCTCCAAGACTCACAGATTATTCAGTAGCCCCCCAGGGAGCCGCTCTGGCATGCAATGCATGCAATCAAGAAGCATTTACTGAGCACTCTTGTGAATGTGATTCAAAGGAGTTCACAGTCTGGGGAGGGGAATTGGCAGGCTGACATGTAAGCAAATGATGACATCAGGGCGATGAGAAGGGCTCTGCGAAGGCTAATTCTTCCTGGCCCAGGAACAAGTGCTATTCTGCCGCCCTTCCAGGAGTTTGGCCAATCCAGGAGAAAGAAACAGCAAGTGCAAAGGGCTGGAAGGAGGAGAGAACACGGTGCATCCAGAGAAGAGAAAGAAGTTCTCTGTGACTAGACCAGAATTTGGGGCGAGGAGAGAGAAGAGGCACATTGGGAGAATAGGTGGGTTGGAGTCTGAAGGGCCTTGTTACTCATTGAAGAAGTCTGGACTCTGCAGTAGGTTTAATGTGTGTGTGTGTGTGTATTTGTGTGTATAGTGTGTATACATATAGTGATATACGATTGTATATAAATACATATGAATACACACACTGGTATCAGGTAAAACAATTTTTTAGATACTGGAGTACTAACAAATATAAGAGAAAAAAAAGATGTTGAAGTGCTCCTATTTACCTTCATTTACGTGAACTGCTCATATATATTATATATATATAATTATTATGCAGCACAAGGAATATTACACCTATTCTTCTATGTGTCACCTTAAGCTTGTTTTATTTGATTACACATGGAATTGTCTTCTTGAAGATGTCTTCCGGTTTTTTTTTTCCTTTTCCTTTCTTTTTACTGTGCTAATGGTCGCCTGCCCCAAACCTCAGAAAAGCAGAAGGAACTTCGTCCTGAAATGTTTCCTTTCACTAAGTCTCAAGAGAGTTCTTGGAAAGATGCTGGCACAGCACGAAGTACACCTCAGCTGTTCATTCGGTTTGTGAATTGTAGATTCTGTGCCAGAGTCAGTGAAATTTCTTTTTTTTTCCCCTTATAGTATCTCAACTTCTCGCAGCCCACCCTATGTGCCCAATAACAGCTCCATTTAGTGACATCCGCTGAAGTTTTATCTAGAGAAGTTTTCCCTCCGTCTTTCCCCTTTATTGGAAAAAAAACAACGGGACACAGAGGAGTCCTGGGACTACGCTTCCCAGCGGCCTCCGTCCGGCTTCTACTCCAACTTCCCTCACAGGGGCGGCGCCTAGCATCTGGGCCCTGCCCACTGGCATCGTATTTAGAACTACAACTTCCAGATGCCTCCACGCGCCGGACCTTTCAAAGAGGGCTTCCCAGCAGCCTCCCGGGTGAAGAGCCCCGCCCCTCGGGGCGGCTGCCGAGGCTTTCCCGGCGCCTTCCGCCCGCCTCGCCCATGCCACGTGATGCACCCCCACCAACCGGCACGGGGAGGAGGGCGGCGGGCGGTGGCCAGAGGCGGGGAGGCCGCAGGGGGCGGGCCCTGGAGGGGGCGGAGCGGGGCCCGGGAGCCGAGCAGCCTGGCAACGGCGGTGGTGCCCGGAGCCCGAGGTGGGTGCGCGCTCGCGGCTGGCCTGGCTCTGAGCCGGGCGCTGCGGGGACCTGTGGTGGGAGAGCCGGGAGGAGGAAGTTGGGACTCCCCGGGCCGACAGGTCCGGCGGGTCCTCGCTGCACCCGCGGGTGTAGGTGGGGTGGGGGGTGGGGGTTCGCCCGAGCGCCTCGCTGTCCCTGCCGGCCAGGGCTGAGTGAGGCCGGGCAGCCGCAGGCAGGTGCCTCTGGCTTCCTCCTGTTCTCCCCGCCCAAGGTCCCGGGCCGGCGACGGGCGAAGGTCGGGACGGGGATCGGGGCCGAGGGGGGAACTCTGGGGGCGTCGCGGCCGCTCCCCGGACTTTGCTTCCCCGTCCTGGAGCGGCGAGCCGGCTGGGCGGCCGTCCTGCCTCCCAGGCGACGCGCCGCGGCTGGTCCTCGCCTTGGCCCTCCGCCTGGGGTGGGTGCCCGCCGCATCCCTAGTGGGTCTTGCGGAGCGGCCGCAGCCGGGCGCTGGCCGGGAAGCCCCATGGGGTCTCTCTAACAGAGTTTCGGTGTCACGCACGGGAGGTTTATCTGCTTTTGCAACAGTTGAGAGGAGATCTGAGAGGGAACGGTTAGTTCCCTGATACGCAGTCGGAAGTGTGCACAGGCACGAGCAAGCGCCCTTTGCCGGGTTGCCTCCCTTAACTGTCTTTTGCTGCGCTCAGGAAGTGAAAACTAATTTTAGTTTTTGCCTAAGCAAATATGAAATGAATCTGCTGCAAAGATTATATTATGGGCTTTATAGACGCATACTAAGTATGGGGTGTAGTGAATTGTGACTGGTTTTTAAATAGGCATAATAGATCTTCGCAAGAATGAAATCATGGCATATTAGAATTGACTGGGACCTTGAAGTTCTTGGTTGTTCGTTTCCAGGATGGGGAAACTGAGGCCCAGAGAGTGTAACGCTGTATAATATTGTAATAATATGACCCAAGATTTGGGGCAACCTAATGGCAAAGCTAACATCACAAGTCAGGTCTCTGGGGAGTATCTTGGCCTCTGTCTAACCCGGGTACTTTTTTTTTTTTTTTAATCACAGCTTAGTTTTGTTCCTTGTAAAGTATCCACCTTAGAGCCTTGAGATCGAGCCAGTGATTTTGCTTTAGTTCAAACCATTTTGAATTTCCTTCAAAACCAGTTTATCAGCCAAATAAGGCAATTAGGCGTGTTAATTTATAGATACATTTTGCTTTCATCCAACATATATTTTGGGCACGATCACTTATTACTCACCAGATTTGACTCAATGACTTTTGGCTGTTTCACAAAACCATATCTATCCTTGAGAGATTCCACACCATGGAGTAGATTCAAACCAGTGAAAGTAGAGAAGATTCATTGGGGCTTTTAGATTCTAGTTATTAAATGCTTTTAAACAGTTGGGTCTCCTTACCTTAAAGTTCTAACTTATATTTATCAGGTTGTCAGCGTCTTCATTTACCCATTAAACCCAGCATGCCCATAGTGTGCCTGCAGCGTCCCAAACACCGAGAAGACAGCAGACAGCACCATTAAGTCCCTGCCTTACAGAACTTATGTGTGGGGAAGCAGACAGTAAAAAAAAAAATAATAAGCAATGATATATTTTCTAGTGGAGATGAGCACTATGCGGAAAAATAGAGCTCTGAAACTCTATGATGTCAATAAAACAGGCTGGCATGTTTGAGAGTGACTTGGGAATTACATTGAATTGTTAAGAGTGTCAGCTGCTGCTCCATTAAAGCAAATAATGAAATCCAAAAGTAAATCTGTCTAAATCAAAGAGATTCTATGGAGTCATCATTTCTCTGGTGATTGCTTCTTGGATCATAAATTCATTCCAGCCTCATTTTTACTTGCATTTTTTTTCTCTTACACGCAAACAATAAGTGCTTTCAAACACCTAGGGAGGTGGTCTTCCAGTCGCTCCCTGTCTCAGTAGTTCCCTTACTCTAGCTACTGAAGGCTCTGCTGAGGTCAGTATTCCTTGTTGATTTCATGCCAGTGTCTCCTGCCTCAGGCTACCTTACACAGAGATTTCTTTTCCTGCACTCTGGTTTGTACTGAGAACCTACCATCTGAAACCATTGTCAATCTTTGGGTTGTGTGGTTTGTAAAGAAACGAGTTCATTTTGATGTTAGCTGTAGCGTAAAGAAGCATTCAATTTCTTAAAAACTAAAGCGCTAGTAAAATGGCATGCATGGTGGCTTACTATACAAGTTCATCTGTTTAGTACCTCTTCTCTCATATTCTGTATGTTCAATGGCTTCAAAGCAAATTTTTTTCATTTTTACAGGTTCTAAAAAATGACTAAAGTTGTAAACAAATACTCAAATATTCTTTGTTCCAAAATGAAAGGAGGATTAACAAAATGTAGTTACTTTAGAAACCACTGAAAGAACATGTGGTTCTTGCTCTTATTGAAGGCTCCCAAATCAAGAGAAAAGCAGAGCCTCTTCAAGGCTTAGTAGGCGACATTTTGAACTGGTGGCCAAAGGATTTCAAAGGCCAGAGTTTCTTGTTATTTCTAAAGTTTTTTTTTCATTTTATAGAAGAATAAGAGGTTGCTTTCATTATTCTTTAGTAATTTCCCTTCCCTGCATCTGACCTCTTTGAAGTTCTGCTTTCTTTATTTTCTAGTTTCTCAGTTCATTATTCTTTTTTGGCAGATGGGGGAGGGAGAGGGGCTGCCATTTGCCTGTAAGGTATTGACCCTGGATTTGAATCCTGGCTCTGATATTACCTGTGTGACTTTGGGTGAGTTACTTACCCCTGTGCCTCAGTGTCCTTACCTGTAAAATGAAAATAATAATACGAATAGTACCTGCCTCAAAGGGTTGTTGGCCAGACTGAACGCTAATCTATGTCCAGTGCTTAGAATAGTGTCTTGCACATAGCACGCACTCAAGAAAAGTTAACTGTTACTGACTAGGACTGCATGGAACTCCCTTGTTTGCTTTTTTTTTTAAAAGATTTTATTTATTTATTTGAGAGAGAGAGAGAAACAGCATGAGAGGGGAGAGGGTCAGAGGGAGAAGCAGGCTCCCCGCTGAGCCGGGAACCCGATGTGGGACTCGATCCCAGGACTCTGGGATCATGACCCGAGCCGAAGGCAGTCACTTAACCAACTGAGCCACCCAGGCGCCCTCCCTTGTTTGCTTTTAAAGATTTATGTATTTGAGAGAGAGAGAGAGAGAGAGAGCATGCAAATAGGGGGAGGGGCAAAGGGAGAGGGAGAGAGAGAATCCCAGGCAGACTCCCTGCTGAGCGTGGAACCTGACAGGAGGCTCAATCCCAGGACCCTGAGATCATGACCTGAGCCGAAATCAAGAGTCCGACACTTCACCCAGGGGCCCCCCCTTGTTTGCTTTTAAAGAAAAAGAATGATTCTAGACATGTCCTAATACACTTTTGGACATCCAGTAAGCGTGATTTTTCTCTAGCCATTTCTCTGCATTTCATGGTTGACTCGAGCTTTTAGTTTCAGGTGACATTGGCAGCAGTGCCCACAGTCCCTGCAGTGTTAAGTTCCCTTTACTATTGGGACTCAGAAATTACTGGAGGCCATATTTTATTTGTTTCTACAAAATGACTAGAGCAAGAAAGGCCTTCTTCCAGTTCCTCTGCTTTGAAAGCAGGAGGGTACCAGGAGACCCAGTTGGAGTTAGTCAGGTGAGATCCAGTTGCCATCCTGTAGTTGGAGGACAGTTTTTCACGTTAAATGTTTACAATGTATTTTTCCACCTGAGCACCTAGACAGTCTCATCCTTTTCTTTTTAAGAATGCAGCGGGCACCTCTAGAACATTGGCATCATGCACTAGCGCTTTCTTTCCGTTTCTGTGTGAGGAACACGAAATGGTAAAGGAGCCCCTTGTCTGTGTGAGGTGGCCGAAAGCTTCCTGAGTTTGGATTACGGAAGCCAGGTTCAAGTCCCATTTCTGCCCCTTCTTAACTCTGTGACATTGGATAAGTCATTTTACTTCACTGCTGCTGTCTCCTCCATTTGTAAGACAGAGCAGTGAGCCCCGCCAAGCTCCCAGAGCTTTCCAGAGAATCAAATGTACATCAGTACCCCTTTGTAGGCTGTGCAGCATTATTATTATTATTATTGCATTCATGTATTATATAGGCCGTCGCTATATGGAGAACTGGTGTAAGAGAGCAGGGTCCTTCCTGTTCTTGGCCCTCCTCCTCCATAGCTGTAGGTGCAGCCTCTCTGCTTTGCTCTCCTTCTTCTGTCAGCATTGAAATATGCAAGTGTTTGATTGCCTCTCTCAAATGGACCTGAAGCCGTTGGTACTCACGAGCTTCCACTTTATTGATTCCTAAAATGGTAGTACTGCATAACCAACAATGACAGGGCAATAGCAAGGCGATCTCTTGCACCAGGGAATATTGCCTGCCTTTTTCTGAAGTGTTTCAGAATGAAAATCTTTGCTTTTTCAAATCAACACCTTACATTAGCTCCTCAGTGCAGCTTGAGGCCCTGCCAAGCTCCTCCATCCATACTAGACTGGATGCTCTCACTCAGGGGCTTAGGATGGGAAGAAATACAGGGCCTTGATTGCTCTCCAGGTCTATGCTGCCTTTCTTGTTCCAACAGAACTGAAACAGAATGCTCTTTTCTCGTTCTTTGAAGTTGTTTCTCAGTATCTTGAAATGACTCCATAAGTAGCTCTTTGAAATGTCACGTACTCCTGTTCATCCAGTACTGCTGCGTCCCCCCTCTTTGTCTTGATATGTAATACCTGCATATTTCAGCATTACTTGTTTCATCTTCCAAGCTTGTGCAGAAAGGGGCTGAGGTTGGAGACGTTTTTTCCTGGGCAGGTGAAACCTAACGTGGCCCTCCACACACTGTAGACATTTAGTACATGCTCTTTGACTTGAACTGGACAAGGAAGGGATAGTTCAGAGTTGTTTGGATGTGTCCATTTCAGCAAATTCGGTTGTATGTACAGAGACCATATCCCCTGACTGCAAGATGAAATGGAG